CAATAAATAAAAATAAAGTTGACTCATCAACTTTCTGACAACAGACAAAAAATGAAGACATGGAGGTAAAAATGGTGGAGATGTTGTAGTGGACTGCATTAGATTACTCATGTGTATTATACTTTTTTGTAATTATTATAGTTTTCAATAATTCACCATCTATAGAGGAAAGGAAAAAATACTACAGGCCAAAAGCTTAGTTGGAAAATTGTTGAAAATGGTCCAGAAGAGAGAGTTGGGGAGCGTCAGTAGAAGAAAACCACCTTGTTTAAACTTGGACTGCAGTATGTCTTACAATATTTATATTGTCTCACCAAAATAAGCTGTTGGGATATCTGTCAGTCAAGATACTTACAATCAAATTATTCAAACAGATGTGACTAAGTGCACTGTAAAAACAAAACAAAACAAAAAAAGAACACAACAGTCTTTCTTAGTTTTGACAACTTCCAATTGTGACAATGTTGAACCAATAAACTATGTTGAGTTTGTTAAATTAGTCTTTCCTCTAATATTAATGGTATTTTCATAGGTCAATTGTTTAATAACTGTTTGTATAAACACTTGAAGTTTTTAAGGATGTGACATCCTGAACTCAAGGTGGAGTAAAAATCAGTTACTATGCCAATCTAATTAATTTACTACAATTTGAGTTTTGTTTCAATTCAAATAATACAGTTTAAATTAAATACAATAATAATTTGGTGCAATTATCAGCATTATTCCCTTAATACAACTCATCAAAACAATGTTTGAAACCTAAAGGTTTATCTAAATCAATCAATTGGATTTTTTTGATCTTACAACCATGCATTTAATTGAGTGGTGGAAACAGATCACCCATAATACTTTGTAGTGTGTGTTGGCCGAGGAGGGTTAAAGGCTGCATGAACATTAACATCTTTGAGAGCTGCACAAATGCCACAAAAGAGTATGCTGCACTGAAGTTTTCTAACGAAGTGATTGCTGTTGAGCAGCAAACAGTGTCAGGTATGTTTTATGTAGAAGTTTCCTGCAGTGTTGTTGTTAGATCTGCACAGTTTTGAAGTCCAGAATGCACATAAACCTATAGCACATCAAGTAACACTGCACTTACAGGAGACTACAGAAGCCTGTAAACAGCTGTAATTCTACAGCATGTTTCTGAAACTCTTCCTCCTGGTCTTTGTTTGCTCCAAACTAAAAACGCACCGAACAAAATCATGGGTACTCCTTCTCTGTGGGTCAGTTGTACACGGTAATATTCAAAAATAAGTCAGTAGATGGAAAAAAAACTCTACAGAACTCATCACGTCCATCCCAGCTTTGTAGTTCAGTAGTAGTGGCACTGACCCTCCTAATAAATAATTTTCCTTTACTCCCTAATTTCACATCGTTCCCTTGGACCTACCTACATGTATGTGTTAGTGTGGATAAATTGAATTACCTAGTAAATTGGAAGAATTACTCCATATGGTGGGCTCTAAAGTGATATTGTGGCAAGTATACAATTTAATTCAGCGTCACAAGATGTATGCAGCAGAAAACCAATCAGCCTGGATAAATAAGGACTGACAGTGACTGAACCGCAGCAAAATGGTCAGATTTAATGAACTTGCAGGAATGAAGTAAACTGATTGAAAACTAAACAGGTAGATGGAAGCAGAGAATGTTTGGATTTGTGGTTTATCGTAGCCGCTCATTCATTTTCGGTTGATGAACTGTTTGATTAATCAACAGCTTCAGCTCTAATGCAGATTCAAGGTGATTTATGAGTGAATGTTTCTCAGGCCCTCTATCTTCTCCTTTTTATCAAAGAAAGCTACACTCTGGGTATCTGTGAGGTGAAATTGCTCCATCAGAACAATTTTAAATTTGTGATTTCCACCTGAACTCAGCAGATATAATAAATCACAGTTGATCCAAACTGATCCTACACACAGGTTATGATTTCTCACAGTTAAAACTATATTTAATGTTGCCTTCTGGACACGCTGAGTGGAAGTTAAACTGACCTGTTCGTTGACACTCAGATTCATCGTGTCCAGATACAGGAAGATTAGCTGGATGATCTTTTTGTTTCATCAAACCAAACAAAAGCTTGTTTGATGCACCTGAAAAAAAGAGCATGACTCAACTTTAGTTCTTTCATGGCAGCTTCTGTAATTATGTCTTCTCTGAGTGTACTGCACTAATGAATGAGTGTGTCGTGCAACCAGAATAGCCAAAAGGACAACTGATGTCACTGCCCTGCCACGTTACGGTCCCCACTCTGGCAACAGACCGGTGTGTGATGTGTCTCTTCCTGCTGTAGGGCCGCTGCTCGACCATGTGATGTGCAGCAGAGATGACAAACTCATATCTCTCATTTGTCGTGGCTTCAGGCACCTTCAGGAGTAAAGCAAATTAAAACTGCGCAGATAAAACGCAACTACTAGGGGTTGTCTTCGGAAGGAAAACTGTCAATTTAACGCCACCTCGAGGTGCAAATTTGTAAGTCTGCTCTGATCATCTGGTAACAGTTTGGTACCTTTAGGTCATTAGCAAACCAGTGATGGAAATACAACTACAGGAGAGGAAGCAGAGGTGGCTGAGTCATCCAGTGAGAAAAGCAAGAGGCAGACCCACAAACACCTGCATGGACAAGAAATACAGAATCAAAACCAGACACACACACAGACAGACGGACGGACAGAGGCTGAAACAAGTAAGACTGAAGGTCCCCAACAAAGACATATCGTCTGTATACTGACCAGTGTCTCAACAGGTCAACAGTGGTGCAAAGTGATCAAATAAGTGGGCCTTGACCTGTTGACTCTTCATTCACACATTAGGTAATAACAATAATGTGTAGATCTGGACTATGTAGATAATTAAAGATAAGACCGATCCGGATTTATATCCCTTTGGAACTATGTTGTTCCACCTGGCATAACTTACATTTATGTCCTGGAGCCTGGAGCCTTACTGAAATAAGGAAATGTGCCAGAATATTCTCTCTTGTCAGTTGTACAACCAAATCACTACACATTTTTACACACAGAATATTTAGAGGTGTGTGTGTGAGTGTGTGTGTGTGTGTGTGTGTATGTGTGTGTGTGTGTGTGCGTGTGTGTGCGTGTGTATGTACGTGAGTGTGTATGTGTGTGTTGCAGGTGCACTCGCCTCCAGATGTGAAGCTGTTTCTGGGGGTCTAGCAGTGAAATCTCCTCTCTATAAATAGGCCGATGGGAGCGGGGCTACGCGGGGGCGCGCCTCCCAGTCCTTGTGTCGGTCACCGCTGAGATCTATTTTTAGAAACAGCACTGCTTACCTCACGTGCGACCGGAGACGGATTTCGCAGGTTGCGCAATTCGCGGCTGGCGTTTTTTTTTTTTTTTTTTTTTTGCGAGCGCGCCTTGTTCATTATTCATGAACGCCATTCATTAAAATGACTTTTCATTGAGATTCTAAAAAAATCGTCAGTGTGACTCTGAAGCAGATCAAAAAACAGGAAGAGTCTGAGTCAGGAGTCGATTATTAAAGCGCCTTTAAAATGCTGAAAACATGTGTGATGGTTGATGTCGAAACTGCTGTCCGACTGTCCTGCTGTCCCTTTATAGCTGCTGACCATGTTTTCAATGATTATTAGATGTTTCTTTTATGTTAAAATGTAAATTCAGATGTATTCGCATTATTTATCTCAGGCCTACTGTTCATCGCCAAGCAGGAAATCCGTGTGTGTCGTTGCTCGCACAGCAGCCGACACATTGAAACATGCAGCAGAAAAAAAGGCGAACAGCGATTTTGTATTTTATCGCCTATATTAACCGAAAATGCGCAAATGATCGACACGACACATGCGCCGCGATTACATCTAACAGACAAAACAGATGGATTCTGTCGACATGTTATATGAAGGTATCTGCATTGATTCCTGCTTAGAAATGATTTCCATTCATAAAAGGCGACGTGGAGCAGCCTCTGCATCCGTGTCCGTGTCTCCTCCATCACCGGCTGCTCTGCGCTGCAGCTTCAAAACATCAAATGATTTGTTTTTGTTTTTTGTTTTTTAAAAAAGGTTGACAGAAAATGTGGTCAGAACGAGGTGCTGGATCGCACCGAACCAGCACCTGCCCGTGTTTACTGACAGGTCCGGGGCCAAACAGGCAGAGACGGGTAAAGTCTAGCTCAGGTGCCAGACACATAAACACAGAAACCTCTTTCGTATTCAGCACAGTCCTCCCATCCCATCCCGTCCTCCCCCCTCCTCCTCCTCCTCCTCCTCCTCCGCTTCATCCCCCTCCACCTCCTCCTCCTCCAATACACCGGAGTCCGGTGACTCCGTTTACGTTTTACGCTTGCTCCGCCCCTTACTCGGTTTTGTCCAAATCGGGCTTTTTGCGTCGCCGGAGCTCCCGATTTCAGGCCGACGTCATCACCGAGTAGAGGGAAGAGCTGACGTCGAGGAAGAGTCACCGAGAGGAGAGGGTACGGGAGAGGGAGGGGGGAGACTTCCACCAATGCTAACACTGATATGAGACACGTCTCCCCACACCCCTCCTCACCCCTCCTCCCTCCGTTTTACGTCGGTGTTGGTGCGTCGGGAGCCCCCCTACTCCGGCGGAGTCCCAGGCTATATAAGTGACCGGCGAGCAGAGTCCCTCAACCAGATTTACGGGTTCCGGACTTCTGTGCGAGAGACGGCGACCACAGCCGCCGATTCACCTGCACTCCGAGAGGAGGGACGGACATCCAGCAGCCGGCCAGCATCCGAGCCGGACGCTGTGGCGGAGATAAAGCGGACGGAGACCGGACAGGAGAAGGTTTTTTGTTGTTGTTGAAGCCTTGCTCTGGGAAAACAAACATAATCAGCGGAGATGAAAGTCCAATAACACACCCAAGAGCTTCTCTACCACCTGTCTCTTGATACATCTTTGGAGACGGGGCACTTCAGCCGAGCCACGACCTTCAGCAGCACTCCGCTCACAGCAACTTCTATCCGGAGGAATTTCCACAGTTCACCGCAGCAGCCGGCCACAATGTACCGCTCAACCAAAGGAGCTTCCAAGGCTCGACGGGACCAGATCAACGCCGAGATCCGGAACCTGAAGGACTTGTTGCCCATCTCTGATGCAGATAAAGCGCGGCTCTCATACCTGCACATCATGTCCCTCGCCTGCATGTACACCAGGAAATCTGTCTTCTTCACTCAAGGTAAGAACCAACTGAACAAAAACGACCTGTTGATGAATCTCATGTCCGCTGCTGCAATAGACGGGCTGTAATCTCTCGCAGTGCTGGAATCAACAAGTGTTTAAGCGGTACTGCAGGCGACTGTGTTGATCTAAACGTGATTTTATGGATCATTTCTGGAGCTGTGAGCTCATTAAGTGATCTGAAATAATCGATTCTGAAACTGATAAAAGCGTTACGTTGGTCATTGTCGCTGTCCGTGGTGCTGAAATGCTTCAGCGATTTTAGTGCAGCGTCGCTGTCCACGGTGCTGAAACACGCTAACGTACAGCTCAGATACACTGTGTTCTTTCTCATAGTTTCATGTTTATTAACAAATTTGACCTCTTTTCTTCGTCTTTCTATCATCTTCTCTCCTCTAGAAGCGGGAACTGCTGCTAGTCTCGAGGAGAGCGCACGGTTCCTGTCTTTTCACGAGCTGTCAGAGTTGATGCAGGCGCTGCCGGGCTTTCTGATGCTGCTGACCGGAGAGGGGAAGCTCCTGTACCTGTCAGACAGCGTCTCCGAGCACCTCGGACACTCCATGGTGAGTCTTCACGCTTCTGGTGCATTCAGGTATATTCGAGCGTTAATGTGTTCCATGAATAACATCCCTGTCCGTCATTTTTCAGGTGGATCTTGTGGCACAGGGAGACAGTGTGTATGATATCATCGACGCCTCAGACCACTTTATCATGAGGACCAACCTGTCAACCTCCTCATCACTTGAAATGGGTGAGTGTACAAAATGTACACTTTTTTTCGCAAGTTTATTCTTGTCTTTTTTTTTGTTTTTTTTTCTCCTCCAACGTGATTTCTAATAAACCTCTTCTCCTCCACAGACCGTCTCTTCCGCTGTCGTTTCAACACCTCCAAGTCCGTGCGGAGGCAGAGTGCTGGAAACAAGCTGGTTCTGATCCGAGCTCGCTGCCTTTCCCCCCCCTCCCCCTCTCCTGCTGCCGGGTCCTACTGGACCTCCAACCCCGTGTGGGTGTGTTTCTGCTCCCCTCTGGAGCCCCATCCGACCCGCTCCAGCCCCGGGGCCGAGAGGGAGTCGACCTCCACCCCTCCCCTGGCTGAGGCCAACTTGTTCCTGGCCTGCTTCCACTCCCAGCACGGCCGGGACATGAGGCTGCAGACAGCACAGGACAGGTGAGCTCACACAAATAACACACTATCTTCAACCTGTTGCTGTAACATGAATTGGTTTGTGAGATAAGTAAAGTGGTGAAACATCCTCCTCCTAACACATCACCGCCCACTCTCCCCTGCAGTGTGAGCGCCTATCTTGGCTTTGATGTGACAGCTTTACGCTCTCGCTCCTGGTACAGCCTCCTCCACCCACAGGATCTGTCACATGCCTCCGCTCAGCACCGTAGCCTATGTAAGTGTACTCTTCACACCAGTTACAACCATGCATGCCCACACGATTACACACATTGTGCCCACTGGCACATCCACACAGCAAAGAACACTATGATGATTAATAGGATTACACACTGATGCCAACTTGTGCTGCAACTATTGTTCCACAGTGAGAGAAGGAGGAGAGGGCAGAGCTGAGATGGTGGTGCGTGTGCAGGCTCAGGACCAGTCGTGGGTTTGGCTCTACATGGTGCTACAACTGCAGCCTGGAGAAATCCCCATCAGCAGCAACAACTACATAATCAGGTATTTACTGCTCTTCTTTAAAAAACACACACCATCACATAAATGTGGTCAAAAACACAAACCTAACTCTCCTGTTCTCCTCTGTTTCTCCTTCTGTTGCTCAGTGACTCTGAGGCCTGGTCAGTGCGTCAGCAGCTCAGCTCAGAACAGACCCAGCTCACCCTGGTCCTGAGTGCTGGCACCTCCCAGCAGGAGAGTCTGAGTCTTCAGTCCCCAGAAACCCTGTCCAGCCCAGACCAGGTCTTCACCCCAGGCAGCAGCGGCCTGTCTGCCCAGTCCTTTGACTTCAGCACTGCCGGCTGCAGCGTGGGCTCCTCTGACGAACCAGGGAGCTCTGCTCCTGAGGCCATGCAGCTGGAGGGTGATCCTCGCTCCAGTATCTCCTCTCTGGAGGAGGAAAGCTTCTTTCAACAGCATCCCACCGAAACCCCCTCAGCGGCCTCCTCCCCCACTCCAGTCACTGTTGAAACAGTAGCAGACTTAGACTTTTTAACCCAGAACATTCTCCTGCCGCCATCCTTCCAGCTCGACCCTCCACTGCCAGCTCTCCCCCTGCCTCTCCCCCCAGTGCCCACCTCACAAGCTCAGCAGACCAAAGAGTTTGTGTGCACTCCGCCCTACACCCCCCAGGTTGGTGGGGCTAGCTTTCCATTCGGCGAGCCCCTCTTCAGCTTTGACCCCACTGGCACCACTACTCCTCCCCCCTCTGCTACAAGTGCCACTGCCACCACCTCCTTGGCCCCCTCAGCTTCCTCCACAGCCCCACCGACTACCGCCTCCAGCCCCATTCCTCCCACCACCCTCTCCACCAAGCTCCCCCTCTCACTACCGACCCCATCTACTGAGCTCCTCTTCCCAATTGAGCCCTGCAGTGGTTCCCTGTACGAGAAACTGCCCCCAACACCCGACAGCCCTGGAGACGGGGACTGCACAGTCATGACCCTGCCTGAGGTCCGGGGTCCACTGTATGTAGACGTACCACTGGGGCCCCTCCAGTGTCCTCCCGAGGGCCTCCTCACCCCCGAAGCTTCACCCGGCAAACAGCCCTGCCTCTCTTTCTTCTCCCTTGAAAGGGAGAAGGAAAGAGCAGAAATATCCCTCTTAGCTCAGCACATTAGCTCACTGGCAGAGGGATTCTACCTGGATCCACTCTTGTCAAAACTCTCCCCTCCCTCCATATCACCCTCCTCCTCCCCTCCCTCCCCCTTTATGTCTCCAGCCATAGAAACTCCTGATTCACTCCAGATGCTTAGGGAGTTTTATCCCATCAAAGCATGGAGAGGTCTGGACATTCCCATCTTCCTTGATGATGATGATTCTCTGTTTGAAGAGAGCATCCTAGAGACCCTTCTCCAAGATGACTTCGCTCCCCCTCAGTCGCCCGGCCTCTCCTGCACCTCCCCCTCCACCTCCCCTATGCCCAACCCTTGCAGCCCAACCTCTCCTCAAACCCCAGTGTGCTGGCGCCAACCCTCCCAGTTTGAGGGAGTGGGCCACGTCTGTAGCGTCCAATCGGCGCAATGTAACTCTATGGCTGGGTGCGGGGCGACTGTGGCTGCTGAGGCCGGGGTAAAGGCAGATGGGGAGGGGTTAGTGGAGGAAGCAATGGAGATCGAGGTGGTGTCATCTCCTGTGTCCTCCTGCTCCTCCATCCCAGCTTCCCCTCCCCTCATCCTCACTGCCTCCCCCAGCCCCGCCACCTCCACGCCCATCGCCTCGCCCACGCCCGCCGTGTCTTGCACTCAGTCCCTCCTGGAGGAACTGGCCGTCCTGGAACCCATGTTTGGGGCAGGTGCCTCGATCGCCCCTGGCTTAGGGCAACAACCTGAGTTGTATCAACTCCAATGTCATCCATCGCCACAGTGCTTCCACAAAGGTAAGAATCTGTCTCACTTCTATCTCACATTCCTGTTTTAAAATGAGATGACAAATCATTCTCTGAAAATGCACCACTAACGTTCTCTTTCTCTCTTTTCTATTTTTTGTCTTCCAGATGGGAGTGGAAGTGTTCCTCCGTTCTAAAATAAGTCTGTGACTTACTTCATCAAGTATGGCATATTGTCATATTTTGTGGAGCCAATTTTACTGAAAAGTAAAAAATAATTAAGTGTATAAATATACATAATGTATATACAACTTAAGGACTTTAACTCCTACATGTCACCTAAGAACAAAGATTGGCTTTATATTTTTGTTCAGTCATTTATCTGTATACTACTACAAAATTGGTGCAACATTTACATGATGGTGCAACTGCATGGACCCACAACTGACTGGGTTCTGAGTCCATGTGGTGTCTCTCAGCTTCTCTGTTACATGAGCTTCAGATATGATCAGACAGAGAAACCTCTCGAACTTCTAAGCGCTGTTTAACTTCCAGACGCGCATTCGTATTCACTCGTAGTGAAAAATCTGTTGTGAACAAAAAAATTAATACATTCCTTGCTATTTCAATAGGGAGATGAATTCTAGCACTTTTGCCTGACATGCAGCAACGCAAACCCAAACCTCAAACGTATTGGAAGTCAAATGTTTACAAATTTTTTACATCCTTAGGATGAGCACTATCAATACATCAAACAAAGGAAGATTTCTTGCATGAAATCCTCTGTCCAGTTTTCAGAGCCACTACAGCTCTGGTTTGGAAGCACTCTTTCTCACGGCCTGCAAGGCAGCATCAAAATACAGTATTCAACAAAACCTGAGATACTTTGAGCTTTGAGTTTGCGGCTTCAGACCTTTAACATTTCATATTTATCTCTCCATCTGAAATCTTGTGTATCAATGTGATGTGCAAAACAAAAAAGAAAACATGTGAAGAGATCCTGGCGTGAGAAGATCTCAAGAATGTTGTCACTTTACGCCAAACAAGAGATTGTCTGGAAGTTTGCCGGGGCTCTGATCATGCCACAAATCCACTGCTACGCTGTACTGTACATTAGACTCTGAATGTGGGCTCTTCAGGTCCTGCCTGGCCTGAGGGCAGTCGGCTGGATATTCTTGCAGCATCAATATTTGCAATGCTGGCAGCTTATAGCGGCTCCTGTGTGCCTGAAATGGCCCTGACCTGCTGAACTCTGAACTCTTTATCATTGTCCATTCAACATGGACGGTTACATCGTTGCTCCACTGGAGTGCGGTGTAGTGAGGCACAATTGACTATGTGAATGAGCGATTCTTCTTTTTTGAGAGGGGTTAGAATACAAAAGTTTTGTTTTAAAAAATGAAAATAGGGATGGGGTGCTATTTCTATTCAGTTACCAAGCGACACGGGTTGAGAATGGTACAATTCCCATGGTGTCGACATGCTCACGTAGAGTTGTCTACGGTCAAGTAAAGGATTGATTCCTACGTTCTAGCTATTCAAGGCTAAGTTAATATACATGTGTAAAATTATATTATTGTATGTGTGATATTTGAAAATGATGTTTAATGCATATGCATTATGTCTGTGGATATAGGCATATGTTCTTTTCAGAAAGGTTGTACACATTTGTACATTTGTATGAAACAGTTATTGGTCTGTACATATAAGAAAGAGATTTTTATTGCATAAGATGGAATATATTCTAAACATCTTACTTACTGCAGAATGGACATTGTGGATCAGTGTTCTATTGTGATGCTTATAAGTGTATTTGGTTGTCATACAAATGCATTTATATTAAAGTGCACTTAATGCGGCTGATGCACTTGTGTCGTCATAGTCAAGCCCCCTGTTCCTCCCTCAGCCTCATCATCATCACCATCATCATCATCATCATCATCATCCCACCATCCCTGCCTCTCTTCTCCCTCCCCTTCACTCTCCTCCATTTCTTCCCCTGGAGCGAGTTTCGCTCAGCAACAGCACTGACGCACACACATGACGAGACAGAATGAGACACTATCTGACTCAGACTGACGCACACACTTGGCATCGAGGTTTTTGCGTGCGAGGATGTGCACACGGGCACACACAGATGGCCTCCCACTTATGATGATGCACACACACACACGCACACACACACACACACACACACAATAGTAGGCATATGACCCCCCCGCCACCCCTCTTTACAAATCACAGTAGCCCACATTCACTGATGTACCTGCGACTCTATCAGCGCTTGCCGTGGTGTAAGACTCCATATATAGGCATTCCTGCTCAAGAGCTCTGACTGAAACAGCCTCCCGTCTATTCTCAGACACTATTCAGAAGGATCAGAGCGGGGAGGGCTGGAGAGAGAGAGGGGGGACAAAGAAAGAGCGAGAGAAGGCTAAAATTAGAGGTACAGTAAAGAGGGATATGGGACAAACTGATGCTTCATCGCCACACAGTGGAAAGGTAGACATAAAATTACAAAATTAAAAATACTAAACCGACAATGTGGTGCCTTTTCTTATGAGAGATAAAAGATTACAGATTCATAGATTTATGGATGGAGGCCTAAAATCCCTTTTCTGACAGATTTCATCACCTGTCCTTCATATAAGATAAAAAAAACAAACACAGGGTCGAATGTATGTACTGAAGCAAAGCCCTAAACATTATACATTTTTGCTGCACACGAACATTTTGTTCCATCACTACCTGCTGCAGTATTGGAGACAGAGGTAAGATGAGTGGAAGGAGCGCTGCACAGCTGACTGCTGCTATCTTCTGGTAAAGACAGACACTGCACCCAAGTGGAGCTAATTGTGACGGAGGCTGTGTGTGAAGTCATGTGGTGTAAAGGTTGCAAAGAGAGGATAGTTTTTACATTTCATGTTAACTTGACCAAAGCAAACTCCCGTGTCTGTACAATGTATTTGGATCAACACTGTTTAAACCGGAACTAAATATATGGCTCTTATAGAATTAGATGACATGGATAGAATGATTGTCACAATAATAAGAGTAGATGCATAAAATCACATATCACAGTAGCAATCACACCAATGTTTCAAACAAAACTGTTTCCCAGGTGCAGTGAATGATCATTATGGAACTTATAACTGCAAATAATCATGATTCATTGAGCTTGTTTCTACCTGGGAATATGCCAAATATTAACTGATGTATTTGCAATTTTGCTATGAATAAAAAATAATTAATGAATAAGTCTTCCTTCCAATATTGTAGAAGTTTTAATTTATCAACAGTTACAAATAAGAAATGGGGACCAGTTACAATAGAACTGCCAGAAGCACAGCTGTGTGATTTTCTTCCATTTAGTTAATTCGTTTTACTATTTGCTCCTCCTTGTTTCAGTATTTCTCAGTTTTGTAGTTTCTGAAATTGATGCTGACAAAAACTATGCTAAAATGTCACAGATTTGTGAGAAATGTCCAAGTTTACATCTTTACGTTGCTTGTTTTGTCAAACTGACAGTTGAAACCCCCTAAACTGTACGATTTACAAAGCGTTAAGCAAACGAAAATATAAACATCAGTAAATTATCCTCACATTTTAGAATCTGAATACTTTAAAGCTAAAAAACAAATACCTGACTGACAGGAACACCTAATTAGTTGACATGTTTAAACAAAATTAAAGTAGATAAACGCATTAATGTGAACAACAGAAACTTGTACAAGATAATTCCTTAGGAATATATGAATCTCACCTGACTTCCTCTGTGATTTTTGCAATAATTCATTTGATGAACCCTTTAGAGCCCAGATTCATAGAAAAGTCTGAAATGTGCAGGGAACCATCTGCACAACCTTTCAAACAGCCAAACTGTTTCCAGAAGTGTTAATAATAGATAAAAACATCAAAGAGACTGAATATACAAATCCTTCCAAGACAGAGCAATTACATTTTCATTAGCTCGGCTCGGAGGAAATGAATCACTCAGGGTCATAAATATTTTCAGCATCTCAGTGGATGTTTTTGTTGCCAAAATGGAGGTGGTGTAAATGCTGAAATTACACCACCTTAATATCGGATGTGAATAAAGACAAGGAAATAAATCATGTAACAACTGACGGTTTATTAAGATCTACCAGACACAACGTTAACAGTGTTTCTGCATGAATGCGGTACATGTATAAAGTCAATATAAACAGGAATGCAAGGTCAGTATTGCAGGTCTTCATTTCTTTTTTCCCAACGAAGCCTCAGCCGCAGCAGCCGCTTCAGCATCTGCTTTCAACTTCTCCGCTCTCTGCTCCAGGAAGACTCTGTACTCATCAGCTGAAAGACTGAAGAGGGGGAGGGGGAGAAGGAGGAAACAATATATTCAATTGCTACAGGGATGTACAGCCTATAGCAACACCCAATTACACTTTAAAGACAAATGTAAATTATGGATTTCCCAGCAACAACGCAGAATTTGATGAAAGTGGACAAATGTGGATGACAAGTATTAAATCAGCATATTTCCAGCTGTGCAGTGACATGTAATAGCAGAAATGTCTAATTGACAGCAGAAAATTCTTCAGCTATCTGCAACATTAACTTGAATAAATTTGTGGGTTAGTTACCCAGAATCAAAGAGAATTGGCTTCTTTCTGGACTCACCACAATGCAGCAGTGTTCAACAACCATCCGGGGAAAAATCCATTGTAAAAGATGTAGAGATACCAATTTCTCTACTGACAGTACTCTCAATAAAACATAATGTACTGCTGCCCCAAGACATGTTAAGTTTTAAGTAAGGGGGAGAAACTCATTCTGGGAGAAGTACAACATCATTAACTGAAGTGGAGGTAGAAGCGGCACAAGTGGATGATTGTGCTTGAATGCAAAACTCGAACAGTTGATGGCAAAATAAATGGAACTCTGTGCACGTCATAAACAATAAATATCTGAAAATATGAGGGGAAAAAAACACACAGGTGGATCTTAAGATGCAAAGCAAGCAGGTTTGCAAAGTCGCATCTAAAAAATCCAATACAAAAGCAAGCGGCGCAAAGTTCTAATAGGTAATTTTTGCAGAATTTATGAGGTCTGACTTCACATTAGATACTGATTGTACACAGGATTAATAATATTGTGTCTTGTAATACTGTTTTACTGTTTTTTTTACACTTCGCATGCAAAAAAAAATTAAAAA